GGGGGAAGGGAGGGAAATGCATGGGACTAGGGTGGTGGCACAGGGGTGATCTGGTGATGGGAAACCCGCGGGGATTACAATCGAGATGGAAAAAAAAATGTGCAAAATGATGTAAAAATAAACTTTGTAATAAAAAAAAAATCACTTTGCCTGCAGAGATTTACTGGAGCTTGGGGAAGGGGAAGAAAAGAGCAGGAGAGATGATTTTTATTCACACTCCCCACAGATTGTAATATTGTAGTCAGCTAAGACCCCGGCAGCTAATCTAACCCCACAGTATCAAGGTCAAACTAGTATACAAAGGCGTAATTCGTCCATGGTTTCTCAGCTGGTTAAGGTTAGGGTTTAATTTTAATTAGGAGCAGGCCTACATAAATACCACAGAATAAAGGCTCTTCATTATTTTGGATTTCCAAACCACTGTTCTCTCTAGCATTTGAAATAATTAAAAGTTAAATCCAATTGAGAAGTCATAAACAACTGTATTGCATTACAAAGTGTAAAATTAAGAGACTGCGGAACTTCTCTTTCACCTCATGCCCTTGAAATCAGATGTTATAAATATGGAATCCATAGCTGGGCACCCACAAACCACCCTAAAATGAAAGGCAAAATTTGTATTCTTCAAGTATATTTTTCTATGAAAAGGATCCATAGTTTGTATAAAAGTTCTGTGAGGGATTTTACCTAGAAAAGGTTAATAATTGTGGTATGTGAATTCTTGTGAGAGGGAGCTACACCCGAAGAACAGCCCTGTGCCCAGTTAGGTGGAGAACCCCAGTGTCTGGAGACTTCTTTTTCTCCACAGTTGAGGTAGGGTCATGGCTTCTGGTCAGGATGCTTGAGGTTCTACTGTTCATCCAATTGTACAGCTTTTATGATGAGGCTATTTCAGAAGCTTTTCAACCACATTTATCTAACAGGCAAACACAGCAACTCACCAAGACTCCGCAAAATTCTATTCACCCCACTAGGCTCAGACTCAGGAATTGTTTGCAAGTATTGGAGGGCCCGGACCTCAAACAAACCTGTGAGGAAGAGTCACAGTGGTCAGGTTGTCCCACACTCAGGACAGCAAGTCAAGCAAAACTCTGTGTTTATTCCCATGTACTAACAGCATTACAAAATCAACATTTCTCTCAGCCAAAGACTCCGATGATGAGCCTTGTAGCTGAAACCTATTTTCTATTTTGATTATTTTCAAACCTTCCGATGCTCACTAAGCAGAGAGAGAGTTTACGATGAGACTGACCTTTGACCCCACTTTTCCGGAGCTCTCGGTCCTGAATGAACCCTGCAAACATCTGAGTCTCCATGAAGAGGTCCAGGAAGTGGCGAACGCTGCGGGAGGTGTGGGACTTGCGGAACGGCTCCCTCTGGAACACACGCTCCCCGCGCTCTGTGACAGTCATGTTCAAAGAGTAATGTCCCACCAGCTCCACAAAAAACCTGACAAATGCTTCGGACACCAGGGAGTTGAGTGTCACGTCTGCTGCAACACAAAATAGAGTTTCCTGAAACTCCATGTTTGGGGGGGGACACTGGATCTGGTGTCCCCCAAAGTGACGCTGAGAAAAGCACCAACGCAAGGACTGGGGGTCACAGCAGGCTGGTCCCTCCTGGTCTTTCTGTGAGCAGGGGAGTCCGGGGCCTCTATCCCGGCCCCTCCCCTCTCCCCATCTTTATTCCACCTCAGCCTGGAAGGCACGTCTGTGATTAGCTCTTTCAAAGGCCACCAGCGAGACCAAATCTATTTTGGGTCTTAATTCCCTATTTTTACCACCGTTTAAGCTACACGTGGCGTCTGTGCTGACCACCTCCTCCTCGTCTCCCGCAACTTTATGCTCCTCTGGCTTCCTGACCCCTCTCGACCCCTCTGCACCTGCCTGCTCACCGAGCGTTTGCTTCAATGCTCGGCTCTTGCCTTTTCTTCCTGGGCTTTGGCCTCAAGCCCACTCCCTCCCAACAGTCCCCTCCTTAAAGAGCTAACGGCCCAGAGCTCAAGCGGACACCCCACACTGATGATGCTCAGACCAGCCCGGTGTCTCACCAAACCTCACCATTCTCTTTCAGGGTGATCACCTAGCTATGGGTGGTCACCAGCTGGCTGGCCCATTAGCACTTACATCTGCTTATCTAAATGATAGCAAATCAGGTCCTTTTGGGCAATGGGTAGAATATAAAACACATTTAAAAAATTTGTATTAGGGCCCTCCCTCGTGGCGCAGGGGGTTAAAGTGCAGCACTGAGAAGCTAAAGCCACTTCTGTATGAGTTCGATTCCCGCCTGCCCCGGAAGTGACCCACATGGCGCAGCAGACCTCTCCTGGCCTGCCCGCTGCTCCCCTCAGCAGTGTACTTCATCGATCTGCCTGTTCTGTTCCCC